AAATCATTTGGATGTTTGCAAATTGGCTGCCCCAATACTTCTGAGACTTGCTGTAACACTTCACCTACTTAAAGCTTCCACAGGTAGCGAAATGAATTGTAAAAATGGCCTCAGCAAGGCGATGTGTTAACACAGGTTTGACTGCATGTCTAACAGAGAGCAGGGATTTATAAACATGTATAATTATAACGTCATTTACAGGAATGTTGGCAACACATCAACGTTCGGAAGGCGCTTCTACCAAAGCTGTGGTCAGTCTTCAGACAAGGTGGAAATGGATCTGCTTCGGTTGTTTATCCAAATTTTTTGCCTTTACTGAGTAAAATACCATCGGAAATCATCAGTCAAAATGTGCAGTTCTATCAGGAGTGGTTTGGAAATATGAAAACTGGGTAAGATTGTATATTTTTAATAATATTAGGTTATGAGGTGAATTTTCAAATATGTACTCTGGGGGCTACAATGTTTGTTTTTGTTATTAGAGGATACTTACGTGCGTAATCGCCCCATATTTGGAATTTCGCATTTCCTAATATGGTAGGATGCAAATACCCCATAAAATACTGCAAAATTATGGCACGTTATAACTTATGGCATTACGGTGACAGATGTATAATAATATTAATTATTGTAATAAATTTTGTAATAATATTCAGCATGTATGTAATTGAATTATCATTTTGATTACAGGTTGACTGTAGAGCGGGTTTTGATGAGTAGTAGCGAGTGTTCGGCCATAATTGTGGCTTACATGGAGTGTTTAAGATTATCATTACAAAAACATTTACAAGACACTGCTGAGAACCGACTTATACAGAATTATCTTATCCTTGATCAGGTACCTTATTTATAACCTTTTCATTCTAGAAACTTTAATCATTGAAGAAATGTAGAATATTATTATTGTTGTTGGCATGTAAATTGATTGCCAATAGATTTAATTGTGATTGAATTTTCATCCATTCGATAAATCGCAAGATGGGATCTTAGTTTGACAATCACAAATGTACCAGTATCACAGCATCAATTATTATTCGATTTAAGTATTTTCTATTAAGATTTGCCTGAGAATAAACGCCAGACTCTTGAGTTGTTTTCAAAATAATCGTAATCCAATACGTACAATTAGCATGTAATATTCAATGAAAATATACTGGAAAAATACCACATTGTCTCTCCAAGCAATTTTGGTCGATGCAATGGTCACTAATGTGGGACCCTCAGATAGAGAACCGATTCTATTATGTCATCGGCATTATCAATCTAGGACAAAACAATTGAAATTTACGTAATGTGGTCAATATTTAATGGTTATATAATTTATATTGCAGCTGATGCCAATGATAGAAACATCAATTGTGGAAGAGAAAACTCAGCAATCATCATCTTCACTTTATGTACAAATCTGTGATTTAGTGAATTATCTTGAAAAGGAATCTGATAAAGAAACCAATCTAAGATTATTAGAATTATTTTGGGAAAATTTGACTTGCATTTGTGTGAAGTATGTTAATGATGATTCCATTGCAAGACAACTGGAGAACATGGCTTTGTTATTAGAATGCATCAAGTCACCTGATATTGCCAGAAAGATGACTCTCAAGAAAAGTGTCAAGGTCAAGTTTTCTGAGGATGCTGTCAATACTGGTGCCAGGAGGAAAACCATGCCAACAGATGAAGAGGAGCCAAAGATGGTCGTGGTGGATGACGTAAAAAGTGAGGGAATCACACAAGCCTCTCTGCTGGATCTTGTCTGCAAAGTAACGAGCATTTCACTCCAAGTAATCCAATCAACACAATCTCTCGTACACCAACGATTTCTTGCACGGCTTGTGAAAAGATTTGCTGATGCTAAACTATTCAATTCTCTAGTAACAAAAAGAACTGACATTCTATCAGATGAATCTGAATTGAAACAAGATATTGACAAGACATACACGAGTAAGTTCTTTCATATGATTCTACTTCCATGGATAGATGAAGTGGAGAACCATCGGGGAATGTATTCAGTAGATTGCATTGTAGATTTGGTGTTAACAGTTATCAAGTCTTGTCACGATGAAGCCGAGAAGACATCGATTCTAAATGAAGTCTTGATAAAATGTAATAATACACAGATTTTACATAATTTACTGAAAAAGGTTTGTATGTATTTTATTGTTCTTACTTGTAAAACCTGTCTGAACTAAATACTTTTCATTGACCCTTCCCTATGATTGTACATTTGTATATTTTAGAACTATACATGTATTACCCCCCGGTAACTGCACATTGCTGACATTGTTATTGATCATTTTTACCAGACAAATTTGTGACCCACAGAATCAGATTTATCAAACTTGTGCTGTAATAATGATTGAATATAAGTTTACTCATTTGAAATAAATAATCTATGAGATCTTTTCTTCATATGTTTCTGATCTGATCCAGTCTGGTTTGATCTGTTCTGTAATTAACCTTTTCACCACCAGTTTCCTCTTTTCATCACAAATTCACAAAATTGTCCTGTTTATAGTCGGCATTTTTCTTCAGAAGATTGGGACAAAAATAGCCAAATTTTTTGAGTAAAAACTGAATATTGACTTGAATTTTGTCTGTTGGCTCCAAAATTAGGGTTCTTTTTCAGAAATATTGAAGAATATAAGAAAAAAGTGCAGACAAATTTGGGCGAAAAGGTCTGGTTGTGAAAATGCGTAATGTATGTTTTATTTCTTGATAGGCCACTACGGATTGGTGTGATCCAGACATTACAAGGTGGTTGAAGGGCCCGGAGTTTGGTAAAAAATTGATACAGGTTGCAGTACAATTATGTCACAATAGTCTAACCTCTGACACTTCAGAATCGTCCAATGACAGTAGCTGGATGATAATAAGTTTAGGACTTTCAACCAATCAGAACCTTGGTAAGTTGCATGTGACATATTGATTATAATAATTGTATTTTCCTAATATTTCTCATTATAAATCCTGGCTGAATAGTTAGAGTGATATACAAATAGGTGGTTTTTCGTTCAACTGCGATCTCGCAAGTTGCATGAAAAACACGGGCCGAACTTCTGTCGCAAAAATCAAAAGATTTGATTTTGAACACAAATTTCTTTTTTTTGTAGCTCAAAGTCAAAAAGCCGATCTTTGAAAGGCGAATAATGTGTTTAGATACCCTTACTTCATTGAAATTGACCATCATTAAATGTGTACAGCACATTATTAAGCATGGAAATACCCCCCAAAATTTTTGCGGAATCCCATGCAATGTTTGTCGCCACTACAACGCTATGACCTTTGTTTGTCCCATTTCTTACGATCGATTTCATGCATAATGTGGGATCTCACGGTGAACAGAGACTGGTCCGTTGTTCGATCACATTATATACAATGTTATACAAAATAAATATGACAAGAGTTTTGCATCATTCCAAGCCCTCGGGTAGGAAGAATGCCTGCTACTTTTGTAGTAAAATACAAAGAATGACACAAATGTGTGTGTGATTTTATCTATAAACTATGTTGATTCTGCTCATTTGTGGGTTTTGCCTTATTTCACAAATTGTATTTTAAGCTGAATGTTCTGAGCATTCAAATAATATTTACTTGAGTTTGTCAATATAAATGCTGCTCTCCATGTTCCTTATTACAACAACAGTTTACTTGATACACTGTTACGTGATTTGAACAATAACAGTTTACTTGATACACTGTTACATGATTTGAACAATGACAGTTTACTTGATACACTGTTACGTGATTTGAACAATGACAGTTTACTTGATACACTGTTACGTGATTTGAACAATGACAGTTTACTTGATACACTGTTACGTGATTTGAACAATGACAGTTTACTTGATACACTGTTACGTGATTTGAACAATGACAGTTTACTTGATACACTGTTACGTGATTTGAACAATGACAGTTTACTTGATACACTGTTACGTGATTTGAACAATGACAGTTTACTTGATACACTGTTACGTGATTTGAACAATGACAGTTTACTTGATACACTGTTACATGATTTGAAACAATGACAGTTTACTTGATACACTGTTACGTGATTTGAACAAT